TCAGTTCCAACAAGTATCCATCATTGACAACAGACTACATGCATCAAATTTCTACACGGCGCTCATTAGTGAACTGCTTGGGCAATACGAGTGACATGAAAAAAGTAAGACTTCATCATGTCTCTACTACACTGTAGAGTGGGTGGATGACTTCATAAAACAACAACAGCAGTTGCCTTTGAAAGATGCATTATTTAAAAACTAGGCAAAGAAAAAACAGCAGAGACAGAGGTAAGCAATGAGTGAACTATTGTCTGACAGGCTAGAGATTGTTGTTTTTTTATTTTTATTTTTCAATGAACAATGTCAACTTTCCCTTACCAGCAAGCGCTTCTGTTGTGTCCTGAAACTTTTCAAAGTGTTTCAGCTTTACTCTGCAAAAGAAAAATACAAGTCTGTAAACAAATGTACAAAAACTAGATGCTAAAAAAATGCTTGCTTGCTTTTTTTCCTGCCCCCACTATTACAGTTCCCCGCTTTGCCCCTGATTGCAAGTGAGCAGAGATGAATATTCAGACCCTCAAAAAGGAAAAGGAGCAATATATCTGATATATAAGGACAGACATTAACCACGTGAATTTCAAGACAGCACCCTGATTGTCACTGCTGACTGATAACACTGTCCTTTTCATCTTCAAAAGAGAACCCTCTGCCTCCATGGGACACAGCCTGCACAGCTCAAATTTAACACTTTTCTACCAAGAATTCTTCAAATCTTTAAGACTGAACTGATTCATTGCCCCTGAATCCTTGAGTCCTCCCTTGTAATTACATGTTAGAAGTTTTGAGCTGAGCTTAAAACAACCAACCAGTAAACAAAATTCTTCCATCACCTAACTGCTCACCAGAGCCAAAAATCATATGTGCAGTGTTTAAACACACTGTGCCAACTCCCACAGCTCAAGTTCCTTCTCCCCCTCACATAATCTGTGGTGTTGATATCTAGAGTCCCAGTGAAGAAGCTATCACAATCCAGTAAATTCCTTGTCAAGGGCAGGCATTTAACTAATCCAGTTCTGATTAACCACTGTGCTTTGTGAGTCAAGTATCTGCAAAAGAAGCAAGGTCACAGATAAAGCTGAATGCCTGAGTTAAGAACACAAGCCCAACAAAAGCCCCAGGCTTATTCTGATGCCTTTTTAGAATCATTAGAAATACAAGAACTAACTTGATCAGAGAACAGATCCATTAAGAGCCATATGCTGTCTAGCAAGTGGCCAGGATGATGTTTCCAAGACAAGATTAACAACACTTCAAACAGACAAATGTGGAATATTCTGTCTTCTCCTCTAAATATTCCTCCAGAGCAGTACAAATCCAAATCACAAGTCATAGCTTGTTCAGAGGTATCTGTTCTAACCAAAGCTGGTTAGAAATGCTCCCATAAAAACACTCTAAGCAGACTTGGCAGGAATTCACCATTGTTCCCAGCCTTAGGACTATTTGCTAGAAAGGCCAGCTTGGTCAGCAGGCACTGCAACCCCCAGGCAGCTGCTCAGCAACACTAACAGTCATTGGTGGCATGGGAAGCAACGCTGGCTCTCATCTCACGGAAGGATTCACATGCTATTAGTTTCAGCTAGATTGAACCACGATGGGTTTTTATTTCAAGAATTTCCTGTGAGCACAAAAACATGTTATATCAGCCAGTTTCAGCATTACAAACTTGGATGTTCTTGTCAGAACATAAAACTCCTTATAACATTGTTTTTCTTTTCTTCAGTGGCATGTGGTAATAACTTCTGCAGCTTAATTACGCAGCTATATATCATTTCAAGATAGTCTTAGTACTTAATTTCACACTACTGGTGTTCACAGCTTTTATGTTTTACAATATCTAAAAGTCAACACTTGTTTCTGAACCTTAGGTTAACAGAGCTATACAGGCAGCTATGTACTTCTAAAGTCAGGCTGTCACCCCCACATCAGGCTGCTTACATTTTGTTTGCTTTTTCCGGAGTTTCAAACTCCTTCCACAAACTGTCAACTTCTTGGAGTTTTTTCTCATTCAGAACCTGCAGACAAAAACAAACAAAACACAAATATATTAAAGCACTCCTGAACAACCTTCAAACCTGCATTCAGCAGAGATGACCTGGAACAGATTCATGACATATCCTACCACTGGAAGTTACTGCAAATTGAGTCAACAAACACAATTACGGTAATCTCCAGTCTCACTGTTCTGTCTCAGCATCTTCATCCCATCCGGAATGCAACTGAATTTACAGTGTTATACTTGCTTTCAACTGCATTATAGAAGTTGCTCAACAATGGCTAGGTCCTTTTGAACCTGCACCATCAAAGCAAAGCCCTCTCCTTGTTTATCAAAACTGGTCTTGCTTCACCTCTTAGAGGATTCATTCACAACCCCAGTGACCCAAAACCAAACCTGTCTCTACTCCGGGAAAATACAAACATGTCTGGGACACCTCACAAAAAAGGGGTGATCGCACACCTTATTTTCATGAATACAAATAAGCCCAAGAAAGAAAGGACATCACAGTAGGGATGACTTTTCACCACAGCTCAGTAATCATTTGAATTAAAATTGCTTAAGATGGAGCAATGGCTTAATCCCATCTCTGGTCAGAGGGGATTCCCTTTCAGTATTTAAACAGGAGAAGGATAATTATGCCACGAGACCCTACACACATTTCACAGAATGCTGAGTGTACTGTAAATTCCTAGAAAACTGCTCAGGGGAACAGCACTGGCAAGATCCTTATAATGTTAAGTTCTTTATACCTCAGTAAAAATGTTGGATTTAAGTTGTGACAAGCTCCAGCACAACTACAATTTGACTTGGTGCAGTGCAAAAATCATTCTTGCACCCTTACAGATTTTTAAACTGAGGTCAAAGGAGGTTCTTTCTTTCTTTTCTTAAATTAATGCTGAGCAAATAAACATGATGACTCATTTCCCACAGGTCTCTGAGGCACAAGACAACCTTTGGGCACATCTCCCCCCCACTCCCCAGCCTACTGATTCTTTGCTTTGGATTGGATTCATCTTTGATATGGACTAGGTTAGTCCTTTCTACCCTGAAGCTCAGAGAATTCTCTGTCTCTATAAACAGACATCAAGAAAAGCACAGTATTTAACTGTGCATACAAGCTAATCAATCAAGGTTGCTAGCATATAGAAATTATGGCTGTCTACGGGCATTTTATGTTCCCCAAATACTAAGATATATTGGAACAAGACTTCCAAGAACTAGAACACTTGCCCTTACTTCGTACACACTCTTCGCTCCTCTGATGGGAGCAATACCTACAAGAGAACACTGAAGAGCTACCCAGCTTGCAAAGGAAGCTGGTTCTGTTCACCAAAGCATAAAGGCAGACCACAGTTATGCTGGCTACAGATAGCTTGTGAACACTGCTGAAAAGGGAAGTGGGTGACAACTGTTTCTGAAACCTAAATTTTCTTCAGTTCAAGGAATTAAAGAAACAAACAGTAACTATCTTTAGAAGCTGTCTAAAAAAAAACCCAAACACTCTAGTGAATACTTTGATACAGAACAAACATACAGATATGACAATCACATAAACTTGCAGCTATTGTGAGGAGGAAAGGAAAGCTCTCCCTGTCCTTCAGATGTACAGTGTGTGTGGGCACTCCTGGCAGCTGCAAACAGAACCAGAGTGGAAAAACAAAACATGCCTCCAAACACACATCTTAATAAAATGTTAATTACGCTCAGTTCTAGCAGACAGCTTCCAGTTCTCTTGCACTCAACCCAGACGCAAACGCAGTTCGCTTTCCCAGGGTATGTTTAAAGCCTGCAAGGGAATGCTGCAGCTTACTGCCTGGCGCCCCCTGCTGCCTGGCAGGGACACCACAGCCGGGCCCAGCACGCAGCTGCTGACATCAGCAGCAGCACTTCTGCATCGGAGTTTCTTCACTTCTGTGTCTCTACTGCCTTTATTTTAAGCCAACCTGGGTTTCACTGGATTAAATATGGGCTGCTTACAGCCCCTCCTGAATTAAATATGGGCTGCTTACAGCCCCTCCTGACTCCTGCAGAATTATAGAATAGAATCACTGAATTTCCTGAGTTGGAAGGGACTCTCGAGAATCGCTGAATTCAACTCCTTGGTCCACAAAGGATTGAAACTCAAACCCTCTGCCCGCATGCACTGTCCAAACACATCTTGAAGTCCCAGCAGTTCAGGACCGTGCCCACTGCCGTGGGCAGCCCGTTCCACACCCACTGTTTTCAGGTGCACAACCTCTCCCTGACCCCCCAGCTGTCCCTCCCCTGACGCAGCTCCACGCCGTTCCCTCGGGCCCTGTCGCTGTCACACAGAGCAGAACTCAGCGCTGCCCTGTTCCCTGTGAGGAGCTGCAGCCATCATGAGGCCTCCTCTCAGCTACCCTGCTCTGGACCGAACAAACGAAGGGACCTCAGCCACTACTCACGCATCTTGTCCTCAGTCTCTTCCCCATCTCTGCTGCCCTTCTGCAGACACTTTTTAACAGTTTTATGTCTTTCTGACATTGTGGTGCTCAAACCTGCACGCAGTGCTTGAGGTGAGGCCGCACAGCATAGAGCAAAGTGGGACAACCCCCGCCCTCCACCACCTAGCTAAGCTGGGCTTGACATACAGCACTGCCGTACAAAGACACAGCGGTACAGAGAATTTGACTCACCACGTTAGTTACCTTTTTCTCCACATGCAAATAAAACTTTCATTAACAACAAAGCAGCAGAACGATGGGCCACTGCCCGGAACCCTGGGGCGGCTACCCACATTCCTCCATACAATCCGCAAAGCGGGCTCTGGGCCTCCTCCTCAACTCCCACGCACTCGGCTCCCGCGGGCCAGAAGCCCAGGACTGACGAAGGACGCCGACCCTTACCCGACTCCCCTCACCAGCACGGACACGCCGCACCTCCGCGCCGCCCACCAGGCCCCAGCCGGGTGCGAGGCGCGGCTTCCTCACTACCCCCGGGCCGCGCGCCGACACCTTACCTTGAAGATGGCGTAGCCAGCAGCGGTCTCGAACAGCACCAACATGACGGCAACGGAGCGGGGCCGGGGGGCGGCCGGCGGGAGCACAGCCACGTGCGCGCACGCACGGTACCCCCCCCCGGTTAAGCACGCGCGCACCGGAAGAGGAAGCGGGCGCAGAGGAAGTGAGCTCACCGGTAAGGGAAGCGCTGAGGCCGCCCGTGGCGCGCGCTCCTACAGGCCACGTGGCGGGAGGCGCGCGCGGCGGGCGCGCGCAGTGGGCGGGGCTGGGGCTGCCGCACGTATAACCGTTACCCCCTGGGGCGGCCGTTTAGCGGGAGTGGCTGCACGAAGGCGGCGCGCTGGAAGTCTGGCTGTCGCGCTGTGCAAGTTTCCGCCTATAAGCAGCGGCCTAATGGGCTGTGCTATGACTGCGCGGTGGGTGTGGGCTGAGCGCAGTCCCTGTTGCTGCTTTCGGGGTTGCCTGCGCTGCCGTCGCGTGTACGGCCCTCCCTGCCCGCCGGGAGGGGGCGCTGTCGGGCCCTGGTTGGTGCTGCCGTGCCTCCCTGCCTTTACGCAATCGTCCCTATGAGTCAGCAGCGCTTCGTTTCCTGCCCTGCCCTTGTGCAAGGGGTGCGCTGGGAAGCCAGCAGTCCGAAATACGGGGATTCGCGTTATTCCCAAGGGCTGGCTTTTGTTTTTGTTTTTGTTTTTTTTTTCCGTGTGAATTCTTTTTTACTTCCGATATTGCAGTGAACATGTAAGCCCTGTAACTAATAGCATCACCAAAGAAGCAGTGCTCAGCTCGGAAGGCCATTGTCAGACTGATGCACCTATATTCAAAGCCCGGTTCCAGTGCTTATGGCCCAGGATCTCGTTTGAATGTTATATTCACCCTTTCTGCCAGCACGACCTGCTCCCAAGCAGCTGTACCAGCGTTAAGAGCCAACTGGTTGTATTTGACATTAAAAAACCTGGGTTTGGTAGGTTAGAGGCTTCTCAGAGGAGATGGGCCACTGATTCTGAGCAGGGGCGCTGCGGCCCTTCTCTGCTCGGCTGCATCCGTGGCCTCGAGTACAGAGTTACACCTCAACCTGAGGGGATGGAGGGCAGCTCACCGACTGCAGGTGACTGAGCTTAGTTGCAGGGGGGAATCAGGGAAGTTATAACGCTTCCCATAATAGTCTCGTTTAATTCCTGGATGATTATAGCAGCGATGGCTTCTGAGAAGAGCCTTACGTGTGCATGCTGTGTTCTTTAAAGCAGTGTGGTAGTGTTTTAACTGTGAATATACAGTATGTTGAATTTACGCAGCTAAAGAAGAGGAGCGTGTGCTCGCTGATGCGTTGGCATCTTTCTCGCAGGTCGAGGAGCGGTTCCGCAGACGCAGCGCTAACGCAGCTCGTGCCCTGGGGCTGTGACTTCCTTAACGAGGCGGAGCGGCGAGAGTCAGCGCGGTGTGTGCGGCCGTGCACGTGTCAGAGCCGTGCCTTTGTTCTGTATGGGGGCAGGCAGCCGAGCGAGCGTGCGCTTTTATTGCAGAACCGTGTAAGAAAATGGGTAGCGTTAAGAATTACGCTCGGGTTTTATGCTAGAGCCACACCGGCGCACGGCTACCCTTCTGCATGTAGAGCTGTGCTTTCGCTCGTGAGTAGCAACGGCGCGCAGGGTGAGACGCGTTCTATTGTTGGTGCCGTGCGTTGTTTTGAAGCCGATTTGGGGGAGGGGGGTCGGGAGCGTTACTGAGTGACGCGCCCGCCCCGCCGCCCGGCTCGCGGGATGAGCTCCTCTGCTGCGGGCCTACGCGTGGTGCCGGGCTCCGCACGCCGACACGGAGCGAGCCGGGGCGGGCAGAGCCGAGCCCCGCTCGGGCGGGGAGGAGCCGGCGGCGGGAAGTGAGCTCAGGCGCACAGGAAATCCCGCCCGCGCCGCGGCCTGTGTTTGCGCTGCGGGCAGAGAAAGGAGCCGAGCCCCGCAGCGGCCCAGCCGAGCCCGCCGCCCGCCCCGCGCCCAGCCATGTCGGACCAGGTACGCGGGGAGCGGCGGCCGCGGGGGGGAGCGGCGCTACGAAGCCACCGCGGCCCGGGCGCGAGGCGGGAGCCGCTCCCTCCGCCACCCCCCTCCCCCGGCCGCCCCCTGCAGACGGCGGGGCGGGGGTGTCCCGTCGGGGAGCGCGGTGTGTGTGCGTGTGTTTGGGGGGGGGGAACGCCTCACGCCTCGGTCGAACTCTGCCTCCGGCTCCGCTCCCCTCCCCGCTGGGGGTGAATCCCTCCATCCCGCCCCGCTCGGGGCACTGGGAGCGGGGCGGCCCCGGGGCGCGCTGCTGGCGGGGGGGGGCGGCTCGGGGAGGGGGGCGGCGCTGCTTTCCTTTCGTTGCCGTTGCCCGGCGGTGCGGTAGGATGCCGCTCCACGGAGCGGGCTCTCCGCGGGTTGGGCCGGGGCCCCCGGCTGCCTTAGGAACGCGAAGGGGGGAAGGGGGGTGAACTCTGACTTGCCCACTTCAGCGTTGTTTGCACGTATTAAACATCCGGTCCTTCACCCAGACCCTGTCCTGCCTCCGCTGGTGCGCCGTGATGTTGTCAGTTCTGACCGTCAGCCGGGGACTTCAATAGTTCCTTGTACGGCAAGTTCTTGGCTCGCTCGGCAGGCACACGCAGAGCCCTTTGCTCGCATCCGTCGCGTTATGCTGTGTGACCTGCTGGCTGGAAGTTACAACAGCGTTCCAGTTCCAATCCGTGCACTGTTTGACTTGATCATTTATAGTACTTTCATATGGCAGTGTTTTCTAACTTTGTCACGATCATTTGGATTCTGAAAAATCAATGTTAGTATCTACAAATGTTTCTTGCGATGCTGTGAAGTCAAGAGCAGTACCAGTGCCAGCCAGGGAATTACAGATATTCAAAACTTGATATGCTGTATCTGCTGTGCAGAATAGCCTCCACAGGTTGTGAATAGAAATTATTGCTGTACGTGCTGGTGGTCACCCACTGCTTTTCAGCCCCGTGCAGCTGTGTTGGTGAGGATGCTCCTGCCTCTCTGTGAGCGCAGCTGTTGCTGGCACCGATTAGGGCACGTCTTCAGTGCAGGGAACTGCAGGAAAGTGGCTGTGTAGAAAGCAAGCACAAATTCTGAACTAGATTTTGTAGGCTGTTAATTCACGTGACCCATTCTGTAGTGCGCTGCATTTGTGAATTAAGGCGTGTTTTAACACATAGCAGCTTTCATTAAGTAATTCCTTCTCCAGCCCAGTCCTGCTAAAGCACATACGTGTTTGGAACTGCTTGAAGTATGTAAAATTTACTGTATGGGATCACCTTTTTGGTCTTTGAATAACAGCCCACGTTGATTTATTGAAAATAGTTAAGCTAAGTATTATCATTTACATGTCTCTGTATTGGGGAGACTGCAGCAAGAACTTAACAGCTGCCTAAATAACTATACAATGTGCAGAGCTGTAGTCCTTATTCCCTTGTTTATCAAAGTAATTAGTTGAAGTAATATCAACTAGAATAATTTGCTTGTGTATGGGAATCGTGGAGTCACAGCTTGAATCTCTGAGCACATGGGGAATGGACCTGGTCAGCCCTGGGAGCACAGGTGAAGGCAATTCAGCTGTGTGACAGGAAGAGGTGGAGCCTGGCTGCACCTCTCTTAGACCCCATAGAAGGGCTGACTGACACTGGGGATCTGGAGATCCCTCCTTGGTGAAGCTTTCCCCTGTGAGCCTGGAATCTTCTTCCCTTCCGTTGTAGCATTTCACCTCTGTAATAATGCCTTTCTCGTTGTACTGATCTGTTCAATTGCTACAGCCTGAAATTGGACACTGCTTGCAGTGTCTTCCTTGTGGCTCTGAAATTAAGTTGTTAAGAGGATGGATGCCATTTGGCAATAGTTATGATTTTGACCCATCCTTCTAGTATAAATCAAGAAGTATGCTTGATTTAGTTATTTTATTCCCAAGGAGAGAGGTACTTTCTTATCATAAGAGTTACTGTAAAGTGGGCAAACTGCAAAAAGCACATGGTTGCTTGGTGGGATCCAAGCAGAAGAGAAAAATTGTTCCCTTCTATGAAGAATCTTGGGTTGTTTTTGCTCTAGTTGAATGCAAGTGTTTGTCTCTTCCTGGACCACAAATAGAATGCTGTGGTACAATTTTATACGTTCTCTCACTCCTGTAGCAAATGTCAAGAGTTCATTGGCTGGATTATGAAGTGTAGTGCAATTGTATGCATTCTGTAATTTTGATTTAAAAAACACTGGAAGTATCTGGGTATGTGTAGACAGTAAAGTCTGAGCACTTGAGAAAACTGGAGGAGGAAATTTGTAATACGTAACCTTACAATGCTTGTTTTGTGGTTCTGTTTGCTACAGCAGCAAATACCTGGCACACTTAGTGCATTTCTTCCAAGAAGCTTTGGGTGCTTTAAGGTCACGAATTCAGAGTTGACATAAATGTGAGACAGTACTAGGGGCCTCACTTCGTGCTCTTTAGGTGAAAAGGGTTTGACTGTGTTTTTGGCTATGTTTAACTGTGTTATGACCTAGTTGTAGGTGAAATAGATTTGACTACGGAAAAAAGTCTTTAAAACTTCAGAGATCTAATGGAAAGTTAGAATTGGGGTATTCTTCTTTTGTTTGTGTGGTTATTTTTCTTTTATCTTCCAATGTAGAATTTCATGTTGGAAGAGTAACACCATTCCTGTTCACAGTGCAAGTGAAAGTCTGGGGGATAGCTGGTGGGTTGGTGATCCAGGGTTTTGTTAGTAAATGCTAGTTGTTTACAAACTTACAATCTCCTTGCTTTATTTGTTCTTAAGAGGTTTTCTGCTGGGCTTTACCATTTGGCATTGAATAGCAGTGTAGTTAGCACTGACAAAATGCAGAGAGGTGTTTTAGGCTTGGAAAGTCTTGTTGTATTGATTTCAAACCTTTTGCATTGTTTTATTTATTTATTATTATTGTCAACATAGGTTTGACCCTGTTTCTCTTTTCCTGAAGTTCTGCCTCAGCACTGATTTTTTTGTGGGTGATAAGTTGCTTGGGCTTTAAACAAGCATCTGGTATGGTGTTTTAGGACTCTAGTTCCCTCTTTCTAATTCCTGCTTTCTCTACTGCTTGCAGCTTTCCCTATTAGATTTTAGTACTTGAGTCATCTTTTCCTGTGAGCAGAAAACAAATGACTTAGGAATCATTGATTTCCAGCTGTATTGGCCAGAGGTGCTGTTACAGTAGTAATAATATTTTGTCATACCTTTTACAGGATGATTTGTTTATAGGAGCTAAGTAGGTAAATGTTACAATGAAGTGTTTGAACAGGTACAGATACTACTTTCTGGGATAATGTGCTGCTGTGCAATTCAGTTCTTATGCAGAAGTAAACTAAGACAAAGACTGATCTGATCCTTTGAAAGGACTGGATGTTTTAAATTCTCCTACAAACAGGAGAAATTTGTTATGTACTTTGCATCTGTAGAGAACTGAAACATTTTGTTTCCTTGAGGCTAGTAATCCTGCATGTAGGCAATAAAAATGCTGTTTGTGCAAGCAGTCAGGACAGGTCTTGGTTCTCATTTTCATTCTGTGAGTCAGGAGTGAAAGCCAGCATATTTTTATTCCTGCAAATAGTCCACGAGATTAGAATTCAGCTATGTTAGAGAGGAAAAACTTAGGTGGGAAGCTTGTTTGCTGAGACTGTTACTGGTAAAGACTCCTTTCACGTGTCCAAAATTACTTGCTTGGAGACTTGAGAGCATCCAGTTTCTGGAAGGCTTGGGGTTAATTTTTTATTTGATCTTTGAGGGTGATATAGCAATGCCATTAGTCTAGATTGGCCACGGGTGAATATCAGACCAGGTGGAGTCTATGGATTTTGATGCTGCAAAAATTGAATGGATTGGACTTGAGGCAGTATTCAAAATTACACAAAGAGCACTTCCTCTTCCTTTCTTCCAGATTGAGTAGTGCGCGTAGGGGAGGTAGTTGCAGACTTCCTCCCCTTTTTCAACTTATTATCATAGAGTCATAGAACGGTTTGGATTGGAAGGGACCTCTAAGATCATCCAGTTCCAACCCCCCTGCTATAGGCAGGGACACCTCTCACTGGACAAGTACGTAGTTGTGCTTGTTTAACTTCTGGGAGACTGGTAGGGGGGTGGGGAGGGGAGATGCTCAGAAAGGTTTATCTACCATTTTAATATGGAGATAGGGTTCTATCTGGATGGTCTTAATATGTAGGTCTTCTATCTGGATGGTCTTAATATGTAGGTGTTGTAAGTATTTCAAGTTCAAGCATACAATGAATATTTGTATGTACTTGGAAAAAATCACCTTTATGATGACTGGGAAAACATGTATTAGATACCTGTACACATTCTACTTATTTTGTCTACTGTGCTAAGCGGTGGAATGAAAAAGGAAGATGAAACACAATCAGCAGGAAGTCCATATTTCTGATTACTTGGGAAGACTTTTTGATTGAGTACCATCTGGACCTGTGATGGTGTCTGTATAGGATCCCTTGTGTTGTAATGGAACTTAACTGAAGCCCTGATCCAAATGTGTAGCGGCAGGCAAGAGATAGGGTTAATACTGCCTGCTTTTTGGCTTACTTTATTTATCAGCAGTTAACATGAGAACTTTGATGTCCCCAATTCATGCTTTATAGAATATAGCACTTAAGTTGAAGAGCTTTAGTGCTTGAAATGTAATTCAAAGTTTTCTGTACAATTCATTCTTATCCTGGAGAGATACCAAAACAACGTAGTTCTTAGAAGTACAACTTGAATTTTTAAGAATTAGTCTTGTAAAAAAACATACTAGAAGGAAGCTTTTAACCAGTGTTGTTTTGTAGTCACAGAAGAAGATAGCTTACTGTCCTTTTGAAAGTAGTAACTGCTGTTGATGCAGTAGAAAGATTGGAAAGTGTTGTGTGATTCACTGCCTTTACACTGGTGGGGAGTTGTAAGTATTTGTTTACTTGTGCTGTCCTTTTTTTGTCAAGTATCTGAGTCTCTTGGTATACTTGAGTTAGTGGTATAAAATCATATCTCCCAGGTTTTTTCATCTGTCATATATTTTTAAATCATAGAATTAAAGAATTGCTCAGGTTGGAAAAGACCTCAAAGTCATCAAGTCTAACTGCAACTCACTACCCTAACTGTAGCAACCCTCAGCTAATTCATGTCCCTGAGAACCACATCCAAATGGTTTTTAAACACATCCAGGGATGGTGATTCAACCACCTCCCTGGGATGCCTGTTCCAGTGCTCCCCAGTGATCCTTCTTTTGTTTTTCATTGTGTTTCTTTCATCATTTGCTTCTCACACGTAGACAGATAAACTATTGACCTATTGTAGTAGCATTGCTACTATTTTCATGCAGAGAGGAAGAAATAAGATACTTTGAATAGTGAATAGAATTTAATATGATGAGGATAACTGGCATCATACTGTCTAGTGAAAATAAGTGTTGGACTTCAATCGTAAGTTTTTTTTAATGCTTTTCTTGCAGGAAGCAAAGCCTTCAGCTGAGGACTTAGGAGATAAGAAAGAGGGGGAATACATTAAACTCAAAGTCATTGGGCAGGTGAGTTTTTAGATAATGGATATCTGGGAGATGATGTGAATTTTTAAACTATTTAAATGAATGGGACAGTGTTGATACTGTAAGTTCTTTGATGTGAGTCTTCTCCTCCAGACCCCAAATAAACTATTTACTAATTGTCAGCAGTGTGTTAGCGTACTCTTAAATTTGGGTCTTTGGATTTTGTATACACCAAGCATGAGATCAACCCTAGGATAAGAATAGGAAGAGGATTCTGTTGACTGACTTGTTGGTAGTGGATTGTAAGTCTGAATTTGTATTGTTTAAATAGATATCTAAATTATTTTTGAACAGAAGTTCTTCTCCACAAAGAACCATTCATTCATTTGATGTAATTCATTTGTTGGAATATTAGTGCAATTGCTTTTTACTGGAGACATGATTTTAACTGGTGCTAACATACACTCAAATCTTGCTGGTTTAATCTGCTATGATGAGAACACATTCAAAAGCTGTGTGACCCATGTTCTGTTTGCGCAGAACCTTTTGTGATCTGCTTTATCTGTAGCCCTTTTCACAAGTGCAGTGATTTGTACCTTATTGCTTGTAGGAAGGACTACAGAATAATGAGAGCTGAGATTTTGCTTTAGGTTGATGTTATGTTGCCAAGTCAGCCTGTATCCTAAGTTCCAGATTATTGCTCTATTTGAACAAGGTTTTGCATATATTTTGAAATACAAGCTTTAACTTGTCTCGTGGAATCTTAGAGCAGAAGTCCCCTGCACATGTATGTTTGTATTTTGTAAGTATGTCAGCTGGTTAAAGATGGAGTACAGACTGAGCTGAGTATGGTATTTAATACTTCTGAATCCAAGAATGTCCATAGTGAGCCGAAGGCTATACTGTGCCATCTGTTTTAAAACAGGGCTTCCTGCGAAAGTGATGAATGTAAGTGCATAAGATGAACCTCCTAAGATGATTTAGCAGTCACTAAATTATGCCCAGTGATAGTTAACTAATATTCTGTGCTACTTTTTCTGTAAGACTTTCTTAATGAAGCTCTTAAAATGAGCATAGAAAAAGTAAGCAGTTACTAAAATAATCTTTTTTTTTTTCTTTTCTGTTCTTAGGACAGCAGTGAAATTCACTTCAAGGTGAAAATGACAACACACCTCAAGAAACTCAAAGAATCATACTGTCAAAGACAGGTTTGTGAAATAATGACACTGGATATATAGTGGCTGTTCAGAAGGTGTAGAAGTGATCTTTTAAAATGTCCACACTTGCATTTATAGTTACTGTAAAATCTTCTGGATCCAAATTCCCTTGAAATAGAATACTGCAGCTTGGGATGAGGGCAGCCTTAGACATTGTTACTGTCAAAAGTATGGTAATAAATTCACGCTAGCTATTATTCCCTAACCTAAAGAAATATGCAGTATTAATGGTTGATACAGGTAAATAGTAACTACTGTTCCAGGACAGGAAATATATGTTCACTTCCAGATTCTGTGGCAGATACTATGGATTCAGTGATGCTATTTCTAGTGGCCATGGCCTACTTCACTCCTAGCTTTGGGGACAGATGCCTTATGTGGCCTTTTCTTGAGCAATTGCATTGAAGTTCAATTCAGTAGATAAAATTATTAAATTAAAAAAAAAAAAAACTTTTTAGTGATGAGCTCAATTTGCATCAAAGTATGGCCAGTTCTGTAGAAATGCCTTTTTTATACTATGATGCAGTAGATTTTCTGTGTTTTTGTACGCTAATGTTACTATATGGCCTATTATCCTACTAGAGAAGGAGAGAAAAGGTTAAACGACAGATAGCCTTGTAGCCAAAATGAAAAATTGATTAAAATTGGGATTCATCAGAAAACTTAAAAGCAGATCCTGGAAATCATTCATGCCGTTAGTTGTATTCACTGTTGGAAATGCTTGTGCAGATTTTTTTCTAAGAAATCATGTTTAGTAGATAGAACTATATTCGTCTCCTGGCTGAATTCTGGAGAGTCCCACTTCCTTCATCAGTAGTCAATGCTGGTTTTGGTGTCAGATAATCTTTCTTTTCTAGAGGGACATCAAGCATTTCTTCCAAGTTGACCAGAGGGGTTGTTGGAACATGGTGGAAAGCTTTTCCTACTTATGAGTTGTTCTGCCTAATAATTTGCAAGCAATATTTCTGTAGCTTTGGAGGAACTATGCAGTTCAGCACCATTTTTCCCCCTGAGACACTTGGTAGCTTACTTGGAAGCAACAGGATAGCTGTTGCTATGTGTAACAAGAACCTACACTTTCTTTTTTGACTTACATGTGTGTTGTTTTTATTAAAAATGTATTATCAATGTGTACATCTCAGTTGAGTTTTTCTTACGCATTTCTGTTTTTAAGGGTGTTCCAATGAACTCACTCAGGTTTCTCTTCGAGGGTCAGAGAATTACTGATAATCATACCCCCAAGGAGGTGAGTTTCTTTTCAAAGAGTGTTGCATACAGCATTCAGTGGAGAAACTAAGTACAGAATTTGTTAGTTTATCTATTCTGCTACGCTAACCTGATTTATTTCTTTAAATATATCCAATCTCTTAGAATATATCTGACTAAATGTAGTCTGACTGTACTTGTCTGACTGTAGTTTTTAATAAGGTTGGTACATAGGTCAGAAAAAAGACTGATTGGACCTTCACATGTAATTTTCCCTCAGGAGAAAGATGTACTCATCAGTGGAAAAAAATTTGAGGGAACCGATCAATTGTTGAACTAGATCTTCAGCTTGGATTTGAAACAAACATGTATTTTGTTCACATTTATTAGATGAAAGTGTAAATAAACAGCAAACAGATTACTTCTGCTGTACAGTGACTTCCACCAATTGTTACAATAAAGCAGGAAGAAACATTGAGATATAATGATGACTTTCTAGAAAAAAAAATCAAACTTGTTGAATTCCACAATGAGCAAGTTACTTTGTTTGAGACAACAGCTGTGAACAGGCTTTGAGTTGCAAGCTGTAGGTCTTAGCAATATCATGCTTAGCAGCATGCAGTATATAATCCATATGGCTATACAGCAGATGCATTCACAGTGTTGGTAGTTACATTCCTGTGCATCTGTTGCCTGAGAAGGAGTTCAGAGGAAAGTAAAGCTAGTAATTCCCAAACTGATGTGTACTGCTTCACAAGTGGATTTAGATTTCACAGATAATTTTATTGCTTTGACTGGGATGTGCTGAAATGTATATGATGGAAGAAAAAATACTTAAGATTGTGAGTGTTGGCTAGTGAGGTATTGAAAATTTTTTCACCCCTTTGTCCTTTGAAAAATTATGGGACAGGAGAACAAAGCATCAGATAGCTTTTCTAGGACCTGCTCTGAATTCAGTGCACCAGATTTATAACAATTGTGCTGTTTTTTCTCTGTTCTCACAGCTGGGGATGGAGGAGGAAGATGTGATTGAAGTTTATCAGGAACAGACGGGGGGTCACTCAACAGTTTAGATCCTTCTGTTTGTTTTATTTCCCCTTAATCCTTTTTTATTTTTAAATAATAGTTCTTTTGTAATGTGGTGTTCAACACTGAATTGAAACTGGCACCCCATCTCTGGGAGTTTATTTTCAAGCGTCTGGTATTTTAAATTCTCGTGCTCATTATACACTATTGTTTCTGTTTTCATTGTGCTGAACTTCTGTGATCCAGCTGCAGCCCTGCTCTCCTTTTCCCTTCCGCCCTCCCCTTTAGAGATACATGTACACACATGCATTTGTATGTTCACTAGGTTCGTGCATTTCAGGCACGAAGGTTGTAAGATCTGCCAGGTGGGCGAGTGTTCTTAATGACTTCCATATCTGCCCTGAAGTTTTGATGTGTGACTGTTTCACTCCTGGACTATAACTTTCAGTGCGAGATGAAGTTTTTCAGAACTAAACTGTGGAGAAATCATGTATCCATAACTCAGCTATTTTGCTTAAATTGTGCTGATGGCCCAACGAAGAAGATCAGAGTTTGAAATGAAAGGCTAGAACCGTTGTCATCTGTACCTTGCTCCAGAGATGGCTTTGCTGAAGACATAGAATTGAAAACCCTAATGATTCTTAAATCTTGCCAGAAGAGCCCAGAAGCATTTTAACTTCATATAGCAATTAGTACACGCAGGTATTCATGCAAGAATGTTCACAGCAGGCAACTGGTGTTACTTTGACGCTCTTGTTTGTACCTTTTGGCCTGGGACATGGGTTTTGAATGGACATTGTCTGTACCAGCTTCATTTAAAATAAACAAGAAAAACGATTTTATAAACAATTTGCATTTTCTTTTCAAATGTTTGGAAATGAACAAAAACGTGAAAGGAGATAACTGGGGCTTTCCTTTCTAGTGCCTCTACATAGAAGGCAGAAAAAAAGTTGTGGTCTGTAAACATACCTTGTATAAAACTATTTACTTTTTTTTATTCGCATAAGCAATATACTTACTGGTTTGGATAGCAGGTGACTCTTTAAGACTACTAGCTGTTTCTTATCCTGTTAGAGAATGTTCACATAGTTACATACTGCTTCACTTTATGCACAAAAGTTAGACTGAAAATGCAACTTGGAAGAAAATACAAAGGTTTAATATCTACATTTCTTATGATTATGGTACTAATGAGTGATCTATCTATGATGGATGACATGGGAATGTCAAGACGCTTCAGCTCTTGAGGGTCATCTTCATGTTGTAGCTAGTTGTAGGTTCCAAATAGTCTTGATAACCTTTGGGTGTGAAAGCTCAGGTGGAAGCTTATAAGCAGGGCAGGATAGCCAAGATTTCTGCGTTGTCCCTGCTTCAGCTTTTCAGCAGATGGATAGGATTTGTTCTTGGTTTTATAAATCAAGTTCGTTTATGATTGACAGATTAATTTAAAAGCATTTTAGTGCTGGAAGAAATTGCAGATGAGCTGTCCATGTTTTTGTGGCTCTTGCTGTACAGGAACTTTCCTTCTTGTGGATTGTCCGATTTCTTTTTTTTTAATTTACTAATACTTTTGTATGCATAGTGGCACTGAAATTTTTTAAAAGATTAAAACTTTTGATTAATAAATGTTAGAATATGGAACTTCAATCTTCAAGTATTCTCTGTAATGCAGTTCTTCCCACTGTGATGTAGAACAACGTGGCTTCTTTGGATTTAGCTCCAGTTGCTTTTTGAGAACAATAAAAGTACCCACTTCAGAATACCAGAAATAAAACAGCCTTGTGATTACTATCAGATCATCTCTAATTTAATTTTTTTTTAATGCTCTTGTTAGTAGACAAGTTCTCATTATCCCACTTCTGCAAATTAGGAACACAGGCACGGGGACAGTGATTTACTGAGGTCACTCAGGAAACTGAAGGTGGAGATGAAAAAAGAATCCAGCTCCCCTGTGTTTGATGCTTGTACTGTTGCTGCATCAGCTTTCTTTCATTCCTGCTGTTCACTTTACTCTTTCGAGTCTGTTTTACATGCTCTTCCATATCAGTTTTCTAGTTTTGAAGCACTGCCTCACCAGATGATATGGAGGAGAGCTTCCTGACAAATGCGATTTCAGCTTCAGTGGAATGAAGCTCAAGGCTAAGGTGTTTTTTTTCTGTTGCGTAACATTCTCCTGAAACATGTCTGTTTATAGAGTAGACATGGTACCACTGGCAAAATGACTTCCTTTTGATCTGCTATCAAGGATCTAAGGCAATGTCTGTACAGTTGTAACTGTTTATGGAGCAGTAATAATAGGAAAATAGTACTCTGACTAAAGATTAGTACTTCATGTAAAATTGAGGATAAACAAGCTACATATGCATTGGTACCTTTTTAAGGAACTTCATTTTTTGGAAGTTGTACTTCAAAATAAACCATAAATTTTGAAGTTGAGAGGATGAAGACTTGGTTTTTCTTCTTTGATTTCTTTGGATCAAGTAATTTAGAAATGCTCTTTCTAAACCATTCATAGATTTGAAGCTCATGACAGGAAATCAGTCTCCTTTGTATGTTGGAGAAAAATAGAAAAGATCTCTTCCTGCTTGTGAAATTTGGCATCCTCTTCATTGTTGTGCTTACCTGTTAATTAGAAAAGCTCAGATCAGCTGTTGATAGCTGCTCCTGCTCAGTGGTTTTTGGCTGTTATTGTTTAGAAAAGTGGTGAATGTTGGAAAAAGAAACAATCTTCACAGCAGGAAGGTGTAGAGGCTATTCACTTCAAATATTAAGGCAATTTAAATATTTCTAATTATGAGTTAATGTACTTGATATTCATTATCATACTGTATAAAGACTGCATTGATAAGTGCTGTATAAAATATCAGGTTCCATGTGGAGGTCTTTAAAGCTAATATGCTTAAAATACTTGTATATTTTCCTAAATATATTTATATGTACATAATTGTAAATTCGAGAAAATGAGATTTTGAAGTTAAATGCTTAAATGCTTGCAGGCTTATGGACTTCAGTTAGAATGTCTACTGACTTGAAGCCTGTTGCAAATTTTAATTAATTCTATATTTAGAAGCTCTACACCTATTTATTAAAATTTTTAGCTTTTCCTACTTTGAATTAGGATTATTTTTGAGAATATGGTACTTAAGTATCTGTGCTGACTGGGGGGTCTTCCATATGCGCTTTTGAACTAATGATGTGCTGGTAAGTTTTCACAAATGAGATGATCGGCTTCTGAGTCATTGTACAAAGAACTATAGGAACTGTGCAAGTTGGAAGTAGTTAGAAGACAAGTGTCTTTGTCTTGCCTTTAGAACGTATGCTTGATGCATGTTAAATTCAAGTGAAGTTAAGCTTCAGCTTAGGGAGATCACAGGAGTTGATTACTCTTGTTTGCAGGAGACTACAGAAACAACAATACAATTTGGATCTGCAAATGTCCTTTTCTTTCACTAGATATTAGTCAAGCAGAATATAAGATGACTGGCAAAGAAAAATTCTTGTCTTGCTATAGTTTATCTTACTGTTGATACTGAAAATTTGCCTTTTCTGAAACAATAACACATCAGTTGATTGATTTGGGTGTTTCTTCCAGAAGTCAGCAATAAGGTCTTCATACCTTTTGTAAAAAGACAATTCTATTTTTGTTTCTTCTTTCTACTGAAGTGGGCCAAAGAATCTGTGGTGAAGCTGCAGAAGATAAGCAAAATGTATTCTGGCACCTCAAGAGGTTATAAAGGTTATCATGGTCTGTCTTAATTTTAGGTTAATTTTCACTGGCTGATAAAACATGAATGCTTTTACTTCCTATCAATGTGATGTATATACAGACTGTAGTGGCAGTCTGGGAAAATAGCTTTGGGAATGAGAATAGGACCAATATGGTAAAGAAAAAAACATTCGTTCTCTTTTGAATGAGGTTGGAACCTTTAGCTGGAAGAGCTCACTGCAATGACCCATACCAAGTATTTATTTATTCTTCTGTGTGGTTTTTCAGACCTAGCTTTTTGAGTAGCTGAAAATAACAAAACACCTATGGATGAGAAGTATCTAGTGTTCTAGTCCAGTAGCTTCTATTAGCAGCGCTTGTTACAATTGCAGATGTTCGGAGTCTCCTCTTTGCCTGCAAACTGTTAATAAAATGGACTGAAAACACAAGTCAGACATCCTCAGGTTAGAAAGCTGATGTTTTGACTTGAAACCTGTGAACTCAGTAGGCTCATGGCTGGCTAACTGGTGCTTTATGCCAGTATGTAACACTGCCTTTTGAGGCACAACCTGGACAGGAGCCTGGACCTACCCAGGAGCTGGCTTTGAGCAAGCTTTGAAACAGGCTGGGAAAGAAAATTTTTGCTTATGCTTATACCTTGTTGTGAGACAGTATGTTTTCATGTCACAACAAGATGGGTAGAGCAAACAAATAGCTATTCCTGCTCAGCTGCAGTCATGATGAATCCTTTCATCCCTTGAAGAGTTCTGTGCTGTTTGCAGTGTTTTGGTATGCAATGTACAAACTCCCTGTGTTGAGGTGCTCATAGAAATGAGCTCTGGAAGCATGCTGTGCTGAAGTCTGTTCTGATGGACTACATAAAGGTAACTGTAATTTCATGTATGTGTGGAAACCTAGTTGTGCTTCTTTCTGTAGCATAAACAGATTTGCATCTTTGAACTGCTTTAGAGCATAAGATGTACTTGAATTGCTGCTGGTATTTGGAGAAATGGTGGAAAACTGATTAAATAGCAAAAGAACTTCAATGCATCTTGAACTGAAGGTAGCTTAAGTCCTAATGCAGCTCTTCAAGGCGGACTGCACTAATGGGAGTCCTGATTATGTAAGTATTCTTGTATAGATTGACACTAAGCATATAGATGTTGTTATTACTAAGGGAAAAAAATAACTTCAATTTCTATATAATGGCTATTCACCTGAGTGAAAATTGTGCTTGTCTCTGGCTTTCTTCACAGCTAGTCTGGTGTTTTCCTTATTTTTTCTTGTTCCTTAGCCTCAAGTCTCATGTTCTTCTCCTCTAGGTTTATTCTTTCATACTTGAAATGTTCTGCTATCACCATCAGCTGCTGGCATGACTTCAGTGCTCCTTCTTTGTCAGCAATTGTCTGCCTTTTTAAAAAAACCATAAAACAGATCACCATCTCCTGATGGTTAATCTCATATTTCCTATTTAGGAAATATTTTTTCATCAATTATAAATAGAAAATAATGTTGGTATAGTGATATCACAAGTATTTAATCTTTAAAAACATATTTGTCTTAAATTGTGATCTTTTTCTAGCATTTATTATTTTTCAAGACTTTCTCTGCAAATATATTTTAGAAATAGGATCTTTCTTCAGCTACACAGTGTTGGGCTTTCAGAGGAGATATCAAATATACTGAAAATGTCAAGAAATGAACAAATATAGCATTGATGTTATTGCTGCTAACGCCTTGTGCTGTTACATCAAAGCTAGGTTGTGGAATTTCTCTTCAGTCTAGGGCAACTGTATAAGAGATGACTATTGTAACCATCTCTCATAGAGGTACAACAGAGTTAATGTTTGGGACTTTGTGTCAGGAATTGCATGGCAGAGATGAACTAAGTCTAGTTGAAATAATCTTTTCAGATGAATTCTGTGCTGTTTAAATAAGCATTAGCCTTTTTATAGGCTACCTGCTCCATCTTGTTTCTCTGTCTCTTCTGGAACTGCAGAGGCTTTCTCTGATAATCCCCCTACTACTAAATACGTTCTTGCATTTTCTCTAACTGTGACTTCTTTGTTGCCACCTCCTCCTGGTGCCTCCACTCTTTTAGTTTGGTTTCTGTAACCTAAAACAAAAATGATTATTAATT